ACCTGAAAAACATTTGATCAAAAATATCGAGAAATTTCGTTTTCACGTACAGCGGACGCCGGCCTACATATGTAACTGCAGATATTATTTGTGGATGTTTTTATGAAGCACATCTGACATTTTCCAAAGAAAACCCTTGAGGAAATGCCGCTTAGCACAATACTGATTGGCGTTTAGCATCAGCCAATCCAGAAGCGGCATTGACTTTCCTTGGCGCTGATTGGTTGGAGAACAGAGATTAGCTATTTGTTCAGACATGGCTAACAATTTTTAGCAACAAACGCGATTAGCAACATATCGACCGACTAAAATTCAGTCAGCGAACATCACGTCTGTCGCCTAGCAAGCATGGCAACGCTAAACACAAGCTAATAACAGCTGATCTCAAAATATTCCTAACCCTTTTAGTCATTTAATATTTAATTATTAAATGTATTAATTTAATTAGGAAGTTAACAGGCTTACCTACTTAAATATTATTTAAAGTGTACTGCGATAGTATTAAAACAGTTCACATGGAGTACTAATGCATATTAAAGCATATTTGTTGTTTTAAAATAGGAAGTTAGAGGCGTTTTTAGAGATAAAGTATTTATAAAGAGTTTATTATTGTTTATATTTTAGATTTTCAAATATGCCTATATTTCATCTATACGATCCATTACAATTAAAATTGTTTTACTTAAAACATTATTTTTACTTTACATATCTAGTCAATTGTATTTACAGAGTTTTGTTTTGAAAATAACTTTTTGAGAATTTTCTAAGCAAATATTTTAGCATCAAACCTTAGCGAAAAAAACACAAATTAACTAAAAAAAGATAGTAAAAGATAACTAAATTATAACAGCATTATATTTGGAAATGTCTTCTTTATACCTTATACACCTGACAGCTCAGAGAAAGTTACCAAATAAATTTCTGACATTTAGCAAATACAAATAATTTAGATGATTCTAACTAGTAGTAACAGCATAAAAAGGCAAGAACACAATCTAAAAGATAAACTTTGAATTGTAACAAATATTTAGAATGTAAACTGGAAAACATTTTAAATATCCAAAGGTCTCCGTAAACAAAACTGTCCTAGTTGAGATCAAAGAAGATTTTTATCATCCAGTTTTTGGTAGAAAGAGAGAAAATCATGTAAATGGAAAATTATTGAGATCATTTGAATTTATCATGCAATTAATTGACATATATTGCGACATGCCTAAGCACCAGTACGAACTCTGTATTTATCTACTGATTTTTTTTGCGTCTTCATTTGGAAAACTCTGGTTTGGTTTCACTGATTCCTAAAGTAAGACTCTTCTCCTGACTCAAGAGTTGATGCTCCTTTGAAAGCCAAGAAAGTAAATTAACCCAATTAAAGCTGCAGCAAATCAGAACCCACAACACACAGAAAACCCGATTACAACGCAGTCGTTTGTTCTCGTGGGTGGTCAGTCGGCCTCAGAGAAAGTGTGACCTTATCCTGATGAGACATGACACCATTTTTGCGGGAAACCCTCTCAAACACACACACACACACCCACCCACCCACCCACACACACACACACACACACACACACACACACACACACACACACACACACACACACGCAGGTTGCTGAGCTGCAGCAGATGGCAGCAGATGTTCTCCGGTCCCTCAGCGGGCCACGATGCTCCTAATGCTGTCTGGAAAACATTCTGGCTCTCTGAGGGATTCGCTGAGTGTTTGTGAGCACTGCTGACTCAACGCTCGGCAGAATGACAACTAAATGTGTTCTCCAAGTCACTCCGATGAGTCGGAGGACTCCGCTGGGATGTGGGCGTTGCTTTGAGCGCTCAGGGTTTTACTGCCAGGAAGCACTAAGGTGCATCCATGTGTAACGCTGCGCTCAAATCACTGCAACAAATGAAATAAAAATCACAAAAGTGACAACATTTCAGCCTCAGTGAGTCCCGGTGTTCAGTTTATTAAGATCTCCTTTAAGGGTCCCAATTAATCAGCAAAATACTTCAGTTTGAACTCAAAGACTAATGTAAATTATGTGCATTTAAATCAGAATAAATGAATGACTGATTTTAAGAGGAATCTAGAATAGTTAGCAATAGCTTCCACTAAATAGCCTGTTTCCCTAAACAGGCTAGCACTTTAGCAATAAATATCATGTTGGTCTAGCAGTTAGCATTAGCGTCTGCTAAATATCACGTTGTAGTGCTGCAGACATTTTTCTGTAGCATTAGCTTCACTGCTTCAGTGCAACAATTTAGAGTTAGCAGAACAAATGTTTATGGCTAATGCTTTAGGGTTAGTGAAGCTGACTTTTGCTACTTTTAACCTCCACATCCCTGTTAGCATTTTAGAGAAGCAAACGGATATAAAAAGCAGAATGACGACAGGATGGATCCAGGAATTCATGCCAAGCTAAAGCTAATCAATGTCTTTAGAAGACTGAATTATTAAAATAGCTGGATGCATTAAAGCTAGTTTATTTTTGGACTTGCAGACAAACTCTATCAGAGCAAATATGCAGATGAGTGTCCAAAAAATGCCTCCTGACCTCAGGCAGCTACTTATGATTAACAGAAAAATTAACTCTAAAGGACCTGAGCAGGATGAGAGAGAGCAGGCTGACACTTTGAGCGTTTATAAAGCTGTAGAGTAAAGAGTTTCTGCATCGTGACACAGAAACAAAACCGCCTCATTACCTCCATGTAACCAACTCTGAGTAAAACCAGTGGAACAGTATAAATCAGTCATTAACAGCTCTGTGATGTATTCACCCTCACGCACCCAGCGATCCGATCGGGCGCTGGCAACGCCGTCCAGCTGAAGCAACAGAACCTCGGCTCTGATCTATAAGCCATCTCTCCTCTGCATTTAAAAATCGATGCGTGGCGTCTGATCTGCCAGACCGGCCGGCTAACATTAAGCGGCGTCCGCTTTTATTAAAGTGGAAAACATCCTGGATTATCCACCAACCAGGACGGACTTAAAGTGAAACATTAGCTGCAGGACATCAACGAGACCCAGCAGAGATCTGAAAATTATCCTAAAACATAACAATGAGCAGCAACGACTGAAAACCTGGAACAATTTCTGCTCTGTTAATCAACAACCCGCAACATTTCAAATTACCTGAAAAGTCAGAGACAGGCGCAGCAAATGTGATCGATATCTGCAGAAATATGATCAGACATTTATCTGCAGGTTTCAGCAAGTCACATTTAATATTTAGACATTTTCAAAGCCAGCTTGAATAAAATTTACGACAGAAAAAAATGATTGAATTGGCAACAGAAGTGAAACAAATTATTGATGCAAAAATTGCTGGCTAGCTAGTTAGCATCAGCTTTAACCATCCCAAGTCACAAAATGCAATGAAGACGAGACTAAAAGTTTCCCCTCACAGACGAGACTGAAAACCTGATATTTATATTTTAACAAATCTGTTTCTGCTTTCTTTGTCATTTTAGTGAACAGAACATAAACATTTCCCTCCGACTGGTTAAACTGAGCTAAAAACAGGAAGACTCACACAAAAACAAACCTTTGATAAACTGGGAAATTAACTTATCTTTTAATGAAGCAACCAGGTGAGAGTCTTAATGTTCTGATCAACAATTATTCACAAATTAATCTATAAAAAAAATGAGTTCATTAAAATCTTGAAGGTTTAGTTTATTACTTTTTAAAAATGTAAAAAGATTTATACATTACATTTTTATTTAAAGATTTGTGCTTTCATCTTTATTTATTTTAGCTAAACCAGGTGGATTCAACCCAGATGAGAAAAACCACAGATTGTAAAAGTTTTGATTCGTTTCTCACGTTTTGTCTGATTGAAACCACGACTTTCAGTCATTTTACGTAACAAACCAACACAACGTAAAACAGAACTGAGAAGAGGAAGCAAAACAATGTTCTTACTAGTGAAAATCTTAAAAGTGCGGCATACTTTTGTAATCAGTCCCCCCAAAACATTACTTGGTGAAATTCACCTTTCAATGCAGATAGTCAGACTTTCTTGCTTGTTTTCCTTTGTTAAAGATCTCAAGTTCAGTCAGATTTGATTAAAAAAATCTGCTTTCACATTTCGTTTAGGTCTGGACTTTGACTAGACCCATGAATCTGCAGTGATTCGGGGACAGAACTGGCAAATTTAACTTACTGGTGCACCACAAAATTCATTACATTAAGAAATGCTTGATTTTACATATATTTTTTACAACATTGTTATAAAATCTGTAAATCATTAAACATCAAAAACATTAAAAAAAAAAACACTTCGGATTGTATCCTTACTAAAAGAAAAACCTATTTTCCACATTTTAGGGGTCATTAACTGTCTTCTAATTTTATTGACCATAGAATAGATTTTTTTGGTTAGGGACCAAAAATTTTTTTTTCAAGGGCCCCAAATGGCCCCCAAGCCAACTTTGGACACCCCTGACTTAAAACAAACTAAAACATCCTGCTGAAAAGTTACTTGCAAGTTAGTTTTGTCTTATTTTAAATGTATTTCAATAGAAACCAGGCCAACAACACGTTGCGTTTTTACCGGGTTTGCCGCCATTTTATCAGCGATGTGAGCTAAATGTGATGTTTGGTGCTAAATGTGATGTTTGGTGTTTCATCTGTGATGCTGTGAAAGCAGCAGAGAGAAAGCAGTTTAAACAGAGGAATGATTAATGCCTAATCCGAAATAACTCCGGGAACGTGAAGAGGGTTGGCGGGAGGATTTATTCCCTCCCAGGATGAGTCACGGCTTCAAAACGAGCCACTTTGAGTTTCACTCTCATCCCAGCAGCGATCCAACAGCAGCAGTGGAAACGGCAGTTTCCCAAACAGCGGATAAATCATCACAGATCAGAACTCTGCTCCGCGGGAGTGCGATCCGGCCTCCAGACAGGAAGGATTAGTCAAGCTAACAGGCTAGGCTAACAGGCGGAGCTAGTAGCCGAGGCTAACGGGCTAGGCTAACCGGAACCGGGACCGGAGCTGGACTTACGGTGCAGGCCGGCATCGAGTCGTCGTCCCCCGCTGTGTCTTCCGGGTCGTGGTGCGTCTCCTGCAACACACAGAGGTCACACCTGAGTTACCATGGCAACGGGACGACGAGCGACGCGGTGACGTCATGCCGTCACGTTCCCACAAGGAAAACAGAAAACGTTGCTGCAGGTCATGAAATATGATTCATGTTTACTTCCTCTACCTCTGTGTTCCTGATATAAAAAGGTTCAGAAAACCTTTTCCAGGATTTATAATTAATATCAGTTATTTTTAATGTTTTTCAGACATACTTTTAGATATTATATGAACAATTTAGAAACATAAAAATAGGATTTTTAATACTGAATATAATTTAATTTATTTAATAACTTATTTCTATGTTTATATAATTAATTTCATTTAAATGGGACTGATTTACAACAATTACAGATTAGAAGACAAACTGCTCCAGACAAATTTATACAGTTAAATATTTTATTGAGTTAATGGTAGGTATTTTATATTAATAAATATTTTAGATGTTTGTTTTATAATCTGTATTTGTTGTACATTTACACCATTAACATCAACTTAACTGACCTAAAGAAATATATTTTAAAATAGTATATTTAAAGCCATTTTACATATCTGCCTCAACTTTCTATTTTCACTATAATATAAAATTCACTGGCTTTATTTATTCAACAGAAAGTGTAATCCAGTTTGCTGTATTTTGTTTGAATTTCTTCAACATTCTTATTTTCACCACCATCTTTATGTTACGTCAGATTTGAATTAATTCCATCAGGCAGATCATCGGCCGCCCTGCTGGAGCAGCAGCTGGGATCCAGACACTGATAGCCCTGCTGCCACGGCCTGATTAAAACTATAACGGCAATAAAAGATTTTATTTACTGGGATTATATTCTGCAGCAGCTGAGCAGAAAAGCTGCAGGCGGAGAGAGAAACGGATCAGAACCAGAGGAGAAACGGCGCTGAAGCTGCAAAAAGAGCATTTATTCACCTGGAACGAAAACGTTTTAGACTTTTTTTTTTTTTTTTTTAATAAATCAGCATTCAAACTCTTAGTTTTCCTTTAAAATAAAAAGTAAGAGGTAAACATTTCACTAACTTCATTACTTTCTTTAAAATATTTAGATTCTGTTCAAAGTCAAGAACTTTTTCCAAAGTTTTTTCTCAATCCTTTCATTTATTCTATGAGCTTTTTCTGATAATTTAATTCACTATTTTAGTTTATCTTAAATTTCAATCAATTTAACAGAAAATTTTCAGATCTAGAAGTTGCTAATTTACTAAGAAAAACCTTCCGATAAATTCAATTCAGAGATATGTGATTGGTCACAAACATGAATTGTGACTCATATTAATTCAAAATTATTAAAAGATAAATATAAAACCAGACAATTTAAACAGAAGAATTAATTTCATCTAAACCCACAAATTCAACCAATTAAGTTACTTAAAATGTTTTTTAGTATCCATGAGTTCGGTATGAGGAAATAAACCTAAAAATCATGAGTGAATTTATGAGGAAACAAACTATGAACCCCACAGGAAAGTTGTGAAAATGCTGCAGAGGAAAAACAAGAAGTGTTCAAGAGAATAAACATCGATTAGTTTATGTCTAACAGAAAACTGAACATCAGGATTTCCAGGCTGGGTTTTCTTATGACTGCAGAAAACATTCTGCAGCTCTAATCCAGCAGAAAATTAAGGAATTACAAGATTAACTCAATCAAAAGAGTAACTTTTATCGGATTATTGAGATTTATGAAGGAGCAGCAATGCTGGTTCATCAGACCGAAAATTTTTAAAAGTGTTTAATAAATAAATAGAGTAATGTTGCTGCATGAACCGTTGCATGCAGCATTAATTTTAGATGAACTCTAACAGCTTACAATTGTTGCAGTTAGAGGAGCGGCCATGTTGGATTTCAAATTTTCAGACAAGGGGTTGTTCCTGATTTTTCCTGACATGTCACTGTGGAATATCATCTGTTGCCTGGATGTTGAGCTATTAGCATGTCGTGACAGTCTCACAGCAGTAGTCTTCAGTCAGAAGCCTCATCAGATTTGTTTGAAGACTGTCAGCTACAGCATCACCACCCAATGTTAGAAAATACTTTCATGATATAAATTAAATTTAGTTTCTTTAAGGGAGAAATAAAGTATTTTTGAATTAAGCTGAACTGAATCTGCAATGGAGGACATGATCAGAAGCTAATCAACGGCGCCATGATGGATTTATTTCTTCTTCTTTTGTTTAAATCAGTGAGGCTGGTTTGGCGTCTCGTTGCATCAGAAGTCGACTGAGGTCAACCGGGTCGGATCAGGTCAACGAATCGATAAAATATGCAGGAGTTTCCTCAGCAGAACAAAGACGCAGCTCAAGGTGAAGCATGCTGTTCGACCTGAACCTCACCTGAAGGGAACGCGGCCTTAAAGGGAAAGTTCACCCAAAACATTCAGCAGAGGAATGTCAGGAATCCTCCACCTGAATCCTCTCACCAGACAACGGTTCAGAAAACATCTCAGCTCTCACTGCAGAGTCTTTAACGAAATAATGTTTAATTTAACCATTTTCTATACGTTTTACCACATATTTAAATATTTTTGTTATTGGATCAGGGTTTTGATATTATTTCTTACTTTTTGAAGAACTGGGTTATATTTAGATTATTATTTGGTTAATATAATATTTTATCTTTCTGAGGTCCTTTGTTTGAAAAGGAAGAAATTCGTTTAACAATTTTATTTTCATGATTTTGATTATTTGAATGTAATATTTCTCATTTGAAATATATTTATTGCTTGCTTTACTCATTTTAATATTGTTTAGCCACTTTTTATTGTGTTTGGATTAATTTAATTCATAGTTTAGTGTAATTTATTTCGATTTTTTTAAAATTTATTGTATATTTCTACTTTTTCAGGATGTATTTCTAATTTTTGCAAGTTATCTTTATATTGAACATCTTTTTTATGACTATCTAGTAATACTTTTATTGGTGTTTTTAGTATTATTTTTATTACTTTTACTTTTCGTTTCTTGCATTTTTATTATTATTAATATTTCTTTTATTTATATTTTTTTTCTCTTGTTAACTGCAAAGTGAAACTTTCACCAGGAAGCTTCTGAATGTTTCTTCCATTGTTTCTGCTGAGTTTCTGTGGTAAATAAACTCTGATCTGCAGAACGGAGCTTCAGTCGTTTTCATTTTACATCTCAGCAGAAAACTGAAGCCTCTCTCTGATCTGCTCTGTTTCACAGAACCAGGTCTGCAACGCGCGCTGCGTTTCTGTCTTCTTGTGGTCTGGAAAATGTTGATCTAAAAGTTGCTGCGCTGTGCTGTAGAGAAAGGAGCAAGTAGGGGGTCAAAGGTCGGTTTTTCAGTGCGTTCCTGTGTGGCGGCGCAGGTCTGGGCCTGTCAGCAGCAGCCTGAGTGACTCAGAGCTTCTGAGCTGTTAGTGAATCTTTGTTTTTACTATCATCAATCTCGCCGCCCATGTGACGCCTCGCGCAGGAAACGGACACTCTCGCTCTTCCTGAGTCACGGCGTCGCGGCGGCTCCGCCTCCCGATGTCGTTCAAGACTCGATAGGAGGAAGGAGAGGAAGAGCAAAACATTTCAACACTGACGGAGATCCTGCACTTCAAAAAACAAAACCTGACCTCAACTTCATGATTCAAAATGAATTAATCCAAAATATCTCCAACTTCTACCAATAAAAGTTGCTCCAGTGCCGTCACAGAGGCCGGTACCAGGATGCAACCAGGGTCCATTTCCACAAAAACGATCCAAACATAGAAATACACCGATCTAAAAATGAACATTTCTGCTCTGACTAGATAAACATCACATGACTAATTCTCTCTTCTCCCCCAGAAACTAAAATAAGAACAAAATAAGTATTGGTTATAAATATCGGCCCAGATTAATTTATCAGGCCGATATCGGTGTGTTGAAACTGACTATTGCTGTTCCATAACTTCAAAAAGAATCGTTCCAGGACGTAAACGCCTTCATTTTTTTATTTTTTCGTACTTTATAAAAATTTTAACAAACAACGGCTCCAGCTAATAGACGGTGGGGGATCTGGAAGGTTAATCCAGCTCCTGTTTCCGACTGTAATCCCTCCTTTGGGTGGATTTATCAGATTTCCAGATTACATTGAAATTCCTCCAGAATCCTTAGATGATCTTAAAGTTTTCTGACAAATATGTAAAAACCTTTGAGACAAACGCTTTAAATATTTTAGGAGTTTCCTGAAGCCTCTGAGTCGCTTACGGACCAAAATCTGATCAGAACAAATCCCAGCTTCAAGCATGTTTCATTATGATCCGGTTCTACTTTTGCAAAGCAGCAGCAGGAGAATCCTGGGGTGGAGAGACGGTCCCAGCACCGGGTCCCAGGTTTTCCACAGGGTCTGGTATGTTTGACTCAATGCAGAGAGAAAAATGTAACAAATGCTGCAATTTTGTTTCCTTATCGAGCTGGCGGGAGAAACGGCTGATGAATTTTTACCAAAGATAAAGGAGAAATCCTCCAGACGCTAAAATCTGACGCCTCTCCATTTTTATTTAGTTAATGAAACAGAAAGCTGCGCTCAGTTTATTCTAGGAGAGAATAAAGCTCATTTTCACTTTAAATGTGACATAAAACATGAACCTCCCTGAACTTGTAGTTTCATGAGTCGGGTTTTCCTCCCACGCCGCTGGAAAACCCCTCGCATTTTAATATGCATCACAAAGTGCAGCTCGATCCAGATCAGACGGCTGGAAGCGGCTCGTTATGCAAAAATCTTCCCCGCAGACGAGAACAGGATGCTGGGACCAACACGACACGGTCCTGTTCAGAAACCAAACGGGTCACAGAGCGACGTTTTACACAACATGTGAAATCTGATCATTTATCTCCAGGCTGCAGAATATTTCAGATAATTGATTCAGACAAATAGATTCTGGTCGTCTGCAGACGTTCCTTCAGTTAAAATTTATCTGAAAGTTAAAGTTGGACCGGCTGCCGGGTTCCTGCAGGAGAGTGGAGCAGCTCTGAGGTGTCCTGTTTCCTGTAGCATCCGCTCCTCTGAGTTCATGCTGATCGTTTAAAGTGCTCTGTAATCTCATTTCTCCTCCTGCGAATCATTTCACGCAATTTAAATCGCATTTCTGCAGCTTCGTCAGCATTCTTTCACACTTTCTCCCTTTTGGATGCCAGATTTGTCAAAAATATGCAGAAAATGACAGCAAACTGTCTGTTTTTAGGGATGAAATTGATATTAAAGAAACAGGTTAGCATCCAGGAGAGTTTCCAGGTATAATCTGATTGAATGCAACATTTTTCTGCAGGTTTTCCTTTAGATTTGCATCCCAGTCGGAAGAGGAGGTTCTAGTTTCAGCCACTGCTGAACCTCATGTCACATTTTTGTCTTTTTCTACAAGTTCAAGCTCGCTTCAGCAAATATTTAACCCATCTGTTGGCTCAGGAAGCAAACCGCTGACATCTCTTAGTATTTGCATCCCATGCAATAAAACAATAATAAATACAGCGAATGAAACTGTCCTCTTAGAGCGGTACTTTAATTTAAATATGTCATTATTGGTGTTCTTACCCACATATTAGAGCTTTTTTGAAGAATTTGCACTCTAAGTAAACGTATTTTCATTATTTCTGCTTTAGTTTTTACATCTTTAAGCTTCTTTTTCACTAAAACTGACTCAGCTTTAGGATAGGTTTGTCACAATAAACAATAAATGAATTAATTTTCATTTGCATGGTTTACAGTTTTTCTCTTTTTCTACCAAAAGCTGGATGATTAAAGTTTTCAGTTTGGTGTTTTGGTCTCAACTAAATCTTTTTTTAAAGATAATTTAGTTCACACTGACTTCATAAGTAATTTTATTTGTAGTTTCTGTAGTTTTATTTATTTCTGATATTTAAGATGTTTTCCAGTTCCATTAAAATTTAAAGTTTATTGATCTTTTAGAAAGTTTTGTTGTATTATTATTATGCTATTATTGCTTTATTACATGAAAATGGACTCAAACCAACAATATTATCGTTATTCGCAGTAACTAATGGGACGGTTTATCTGATTTGTTATGGTGACAGGCCGAGGTTTGGGGACATATTTCTGGGATTAAACAGTTTATCCTCGTTTAAATCTTCTTTCTATGCAAGTTGTCTTTAATGTTTCAGCTTTCAGGTAAGTTATTAAAGCTTTTCATCCTGCTGGTTGAAAGCTGCAAGCCGAGTCATTTACTGTTGATTGAAATGTTTTGTTTTTATTGCAGAATAAGGATGAAATGAAAGGTTTGGAGCAGGTTTTTATCGTTCCTGCTCATCTTACTGTCACATTGCTCTGGGTTTAACATGCTGCAGCTTGTTGTGGACATGAAGCTCAGATTTAACTCCAACTAAACTCCAGCCTCTTTCAGAGCCATGAAAACTGTGTTATGCTGTAAAAGTTATTCATCCTGCAGGGGTTTGGCGTTTTGAAGCTGATTTAGTGTTTCTGGGGGAGGTTCTGCACCACTTCCAGGTAGTTGGAGGTTCTGGTTCTGGTCCAGCCCTGCGCTGCAACATGAGGACAAACGGAGCTGCTCACCTCTCCAGCCGTTCCTCCCACCGGCATCTTCTGCCAGGGATCCGCCAGCTGAGCCAGAGGCATCCTCTCCTTCTTCTTCTTCTCCTTCTCCTGGGCTCCCGCTCCTCCTCTCTTCTTCTTCGGTTTAATTCCCGCTGCTCTCCGCAGACTCTGTAAACTCCGGCCGCCTTCTCTCTTTCTGCTTCTTCTCTTCCTGGTAAAATGTTGCGAGCTTCTCTCCCTCACTTTCTCTCTTTCTCCGGTCCCGTTCCTGAGTCGGCGGGACGCGAACCGAGCCTAGCCGAGCGAGCAGCGCTAATTCCGGCTGTGGTGAGGCGCAGAGACCGCCCCTTCCTCCTCCGGGGAGACAAACATGAAAGGAGGACGCCCTTTTCTCGGAAACTGCTCCACCTCTACAATCTCTCTCTCTCTCTCTGTCTCTCTCTCTCTGTCTCTCTCTTTCTCTCTCTCTCTCTCTCTTCTCTCTCATTTCCGCTCTTTCCCAATATGGCGGCCGGTGTCGGCTTACCTGTCCGTCAGGCGGCTGACGTCACCGTGCGTCACGCCGGGAGGCGGCACCTGAGAGAACTAAACTTCAGGATGAGTCAGAGCCTCTGGAGAAACTACAGAGGCTCGTTTACTCACATTTGTGAACCACAGCCTGTGGAAACACAAAACAACCACAGCAAACTGCACCCACAGCTGGAATCACTCTGACCTTTTACCCCCAAAGGCCAGAGGAGGTGAGAATGAGCAGGAAGAGGAGGAGGAATTCCCTAGTGAAAAAATTTTTGGATTTTAAGTTTGACATAATAGCTTTAAACACACTCAAATATAATTATACAAAATACATTAAATTAAAGTAAACTTTAAGTGAAAAAATATGTATTTGCTCAAGTGTATCAATGAAACAATACGCTTTCAAATATATTTCGGTTATATTTTAAAATATATGCCCAAAATATAATTTTTAGAAATTCACTACTGAGTATGTATGTTTTAAATTAAATCCAAGTGAACACTTTAGGCTAATAAAGTATGCATTTTAGGTGCCTTAATAATATTTTACTATTTTTGTCAAAATGGCAAAGAATAAATGATAAAAGACATGAAGTGACTAAAAAGTTACTTCAATAGCAATGATAATAAACAAAAAGTGTTATTATACAATTGTGTAATCACACTACTAATATAAAAAAATATGTAATGCCAATATACTGAAAATACATTCAAATTATATTTTAAATGTAATTCAATGACAAAAATAGTCAAAATATACAAATCAAGCAGATTTATATTAAATAAAAAGTAATGAACTTAAAGTATACTAAGCGTAATTTTAGTTGTTCCAAAATAGAATGTGAAAGTACACTTAGTACACTTTAAATTGTGCTTTAATACAGTTTAATTAAGATTAAAATACACTAAACACAAAATTGGTTGTTCCAAAATGTCATACTTTAAGTTAACTAATCCTAAATCAACATGAAATATCATGATTAGTCTATATTCTCAAGTAAACTAAAATTTAACATTCCTGGTATATATTTATTTTGACAAAATGAAAGATTAAAATCATGAAAATGCTCCATAAAGAGGCCTGATGGGATGATCGTCTCATGTTGTTGAAGGCGTTTCTTGTGCCGTAGAGGCTCATGGGAAATGTAGTTTATCTCTTCTGACTGTTAGAAACAGAAATACTGAAGGTTTTTAAACTTTCTTATTGTTTTGTTGCAGTTTATAAAATCTATCTGAACCGTTAACAGTAAATATTTATTTACTTTGATTTTAGACGCTTCTGGTTAATCATGAAAACTCAAGTCACGTGACTTTGAAACAGAAACTGAAACTAACTTCGTTCTCCTTCAGATCAGACGCCATTTTGAGACGGAGGATGAGAATAACGGGTCTTCTTGTTAACAGAGGTAAGTGTTGCAGCTCCATGTTGCTCCGTGTCTCTTTGGGACTGAGATCAGGTTTTTCTAAAGGATCACAGTGACGTCACAGCGGCTGCTGCAGTGGCCGTTCCTCAGCAGTTGGGTTTCATTTTCCTGACTTCAAGGCCTGTTTACATTCACACAAAATACATTTATTTGACATGAAGGCTCAATGTGAAACGCTGCTGCTCATAAATTGCTGTTATTCGAGGCGACAGATGAATTTACGTTTCACCAACGAAGCTGAAGTTTGTTTCCGTTTCCAAGTCACTCAGACCTTATTTGGAAACGAAGGGGCGCTATTTGCTGTATTATCCTCGGTCTCCCGTTTTTATTTCCTGTTGAAATCTGTGATACATCTTCATCTTTAGCAAGGAGTTTCACTCTCATTGTATTTTAACTTTGAATGGATCACCTGATCCTGAAGTCTCTCTGATTGTTGGTCCGTCTGGAAAATATTCCTTCCACATATTCCTGCCTCTCAACAGGAGGACTGGCAGCCCATCTGAAGGAGGTCTGGAGCCCAAAGGGTTCAGAACCCCAAAGGGTTCAGAACCGCTGCTTTAACTGAGCCCATCTGTTCAGGACCAACACATCACCACTTCATAGGAAATGTTCACTCCTTCATTCACTTCATCTGACCTCACTCTGGATGTTTCTGCAGACCTGGAACATGATTCCAGTTTAGGTTTCAGACTCAGATCTGAAATGTTCTTCATAAAGTCAGAAGTTCTCCAGAAGGTTCTTGGATCAGCCAGCAGACATCAGAAGGTCATGAAGAAGTGAAGGAAAGAACAATTCAGACCCGATGTTACCTGCTGGAATCAGGTTCCTCTGATCCTCTGAACACGTGATGGGAATCAACTTTCTGCTGACTGGGTCACTGGGATCTGACTGGTACTGGTTTCTCTTTCAGACTTACTGAGGTCCAGAAGATGGAAGATTTGGACCTAAAGGAGAACCGACCAGAACCTCCAGGATCCGACTGTCCCTCTATGAGGAGTGACTGGTCAAAGGAAGAACCTCCAGACCTCAGTGATGAACCAGAACCATCAGACCCAGAGTAAGAAACCAGTTTCTAACTGGTTCATGTGACTCCACACAGATTTATTTAATATTAACTTGTTTATCTTCAGCAAATAAATAAAAAGTAACTTAATTTTTATGCAAACCTAAAGCTAAGTAATTGGGACCAGTTTATATACTGGGAACACTGGGACCAGTTGATATACTGGGACCAGTAGGACCAGTTTATATACTGGGAACACTTGGACCAGTTTATATACTGGGAACACTGGGACCAGTTTATATACTGGGAACACTTGGACCAGTTTATATACTGGGAACACTGGGACCAGTTTATATACTGGGAACACTGGGACCCGTTTATATACTGGGAACACTGGGACCAGCTTATATACTGGGAACACTGGGACCAGCTTATATACTGGGAACACTGGGACCAGTTTATATACTGGAAACACTGGGACCAGCTTATATACTGGGAACACTGGGACCAGTTTATATACTGGGAACACTGGGACCAGTTTATATACTGGGAACACTTGGACCAGTTTATGTACTGGGAACACTGGGACCAGTTTATATACTGGGAACACTGGGACCTGTTTATATACTGGAAACACTGGGCCCAGTTTATATACTGGGAACACTGGGACCTGTTTATATACTGGAAACACTGGGCCCAGTTTATATACTGGGAACACTGGGACCAGTTTATATACTGGGAACACTGGGACCAGCTGATCCAGGTCGGATGACGACCCAGAACTTTAAACCTTCTGCTTCTTCTTCAGTGTTTTTCTCACAGAGTTTTTCAGGAATTGATTTGATCTGAATAATATTTTTGTGTTGCAGAGATCAGAACCACAGACTGAGACCAGAACCTCCAGGATCCGTCTGTCCCTCTATGAGGAGTGACTGGTCAAAGGAAGAACCTCCAGACCTCAGTACTGAACCAGAACCATCAGACCCAAAGTAAGAAACCAGTTTCTAACTGGTTCATGTGACTCCACACAGATTTATTTAATATTAACTTGTTTATCTTCAGCAAATAAATAAAGAGTAACTTAATTTTTATGCAAACCTAAAGCTAAGTAATTGGGACCAGTTTATATACTGGGAACACTGGGACCAGCTTATATACTGGGAACACTGGGACCAGTTTATATACTGGAAACACTGGGACCAGCTTATATACTGGGAACACTGGGACCAGTTTATATACTGGGAACACTGTGACCAGTTTATATACTGGGAACACTGGGACCAGTTTATATACTGGGAACACTGGGACCAGTTTATATACTGGGAACACTGTGACCAGTTTATATACTGGGAACACTGGCACCAGTTTATATACTGGGAACACTTGGACCAGTTTATATACTGGGAACACTGGGACCAGTTTATATACTGGGAACACTGTGACCAGTTTATATACTGGGAACACTGGGACCAGTTTATATACTGGGAACACTGGGACCAGTTGATATACTGGGAACATTGGGACCAGCTTATATACTGGGAACACTGGGACCAGTTTATATACTGGAAACACTGGGACCAGCTTATATACTGGGAACACTGGGACCAGTTTTATATACTGGGAACACTGGGACCAGTTGATATACTGGGAACATTGGGACCAGCTTATATGCTGGGAACACTGGGACCAGTTTATATACTGGGAACACTTGGACCAGTTTATATACTGGAAACACTGGGACCAGCTTATATACTGGGAACACTGGGACCAGTTTATATACTGGGAACACTTGGACCAGTTTATATACTGGGAACACTGGGACCAGTTTATATACTGGGAACACTGGGACCAGTTTATATACTGGGAACACTGGGACCAGTTTATATACTGGGAACACTTGGACCAGTTTATATACTGGGAACACTGGGACCAGTTTATATACTGGGAACACTGTGACCAGTTTATATACTGGGAACACTGGGACCAGTTTATATACTGGGAACACTGGGACCAGTTTATACTGGGAACACTGTGACCAGTTTATATACTGGGAACACTGGGCCCAGTTTATATACTGGGAACACTGGGACCAGCTGATCCAGGTCGGATGACGACCCAGAACTTTAAACCTTCTGCTTCTTCTTCAGTGTTTTTATCACAGTTTCTCAGGAATTGATTTGATGTGAATAATATTTTTGTGTTCCAGAGATCAGAACCACAGACTGAGACCAGAACCTCCAGGATCCGTCTGTCCCTCTATGAGGAGTGACTGGTCAAAGGAAGAACCTCCAGACCTCAGTACTGAACCAGAACCATCAGACCCAAAGTAAGAAACCAGTTTCTAACTGGTTCATGTGACTCTGCAGAGACCAACCAGGATTTAAAGTTTGATTTCAGCTTAGAAACTGATTCCTGGAGACCAAAACATCATTTTTATTCATTTTAGTTCTTTTG